TACTATGCATACAAAGCAATAAAAAAATTTGCCCTTTATATTTTATCACTACGCTCCACTGATGCATTCATTGAATTACTTAGAACGAATAACGGATCCTAAATCCTAGAGCCAATGGGCTAACCGATTCGTGGACTGTCGTCCGATAAAAAATCTAATGGCTCGGTTATTGAATCCCGAAGGTACCGAGCCTATTAGGCAGGGGCCAAACATCAAAGTCTACGTCCAACCTAAAACGACTCGGAGACGTCCGAGTCCGTACTCGGAAAGTAAGGCTCTTTCATATGATTGAAACCTATTAAAGGGTTGCCCTCAGCAAAGCACCATCATGTATGACTAAAACACTCAAGTATCTTGAAGACCTTCGTTTTTATCGAAACTTCGAAGCCACGAACAACTCGGAGTTACCATCGAAATCGGGCCTCATTCGGGCGCCCGGAGAACGAGTGCTCCAGATTACATCTAATTCTATTCTATGACATTAAGGACGATCCACAAATAAACAATTGCAAATAGATGCTGAAAAGCAAAAGACACAGTGTTGTCGAAGGAAAAATTATATATATGTATTCCAAAAGTATTTACAAAGGCACGATAAAACGGCCTCAAAATAAACGAAAAGGAAATATACAAAAGGAAACAAAAAGAGCTAAGGCATGTCCACCTAATCTTCACCGGAGCTTGACTCGGCCCCGGAACCTTCAGGACATTTGGGCTCATAAAGCTCTTTTGCCTCGGCCTCAAGCCTCTTGGCCTACTCAATCTCGGCCGACAGATCAAATCCCCGGGTGTGAATCTCCTCAAGGATCTCCCTCTGGGACAACCGCTTGACATACTCAGCCTTCATTATTAAACGGGCCTCAGCTATCACCACACCGGTTTTATACTGGGAAAGCATTTCTTTGACCTTGGAGGAATAAATCAAGTTGCCTCTAACTTGGACTTCAACACAGTATATTCTTAGTCGAGGTCGTCCCATTCTGAGACAGCTGAATCCAGTTGTGCTCGAAGTTCTTCATTTATCCTAGACCGCTTGTCGGCCTTATCCTTTGCCACTAGAGATGGTCCTTGACCGACGCTAAATCCTCTTTTTTAGCCTCCTTTTTCGAGACCAGAAAGTCCATCCTTCTCCTCAGCATTTCGGCCGTAGTTTTGAGCTTGTTCATCTCGTCCTAGAGCTAGTCAATCAGGTCTATCTTCTCTTGAACCTGTGAGGTTGCATCGTTAGTCACTGTGCATAACCTCTCATTTTTAACCTAAAAAATCCTTACCTTCTTGACCAGTTCATCAAGCTCCCGTTTCACACCCAAGGCCTCCATTTGAGCTTTTTCCAGCTCGGCTCGGAGAATAGGGAGATCCTTGAGGGCCTCATCTTTTTGCTCACTTAGAACCCTATACATGTCTTTCTGTCGGACTTGCTCTTTGAGATCGAACTCGAGCTGGCTGACTTCCATTCGAGACCAAAGGAAGCCTTCATGGTGGAGCATCGAAGCCTGAAAAACAAAATGATAAGATCATTAGGACATGCTGAAGCTAAACAAGATGTATGAAGGGCACAAGGAATGGGAAACTTACCCGGTTCAGTGCCTGTTGTGCCTCGATATAGAGGCTCTATGGGCCCACTTCGTTCATCTTTGCTGGTCGTCTTCGATCACCTGGCAGCAAAGATAGCTGGCCATGACCGCCGGAGCGGACAACACCCAGGTGTCCGCCGGGATAGTAAACACAACCGTTCTTTTACAATCGGGATCCATGCTTAAGCAGGGAACTGCCTCACCAGCTTCGGGCTCGAGCTCGGCTCGCCTACTCCCAACGACACTTCCTTTTTTCGGATCTCCATGCGACCAAACCCGAGATAATCCTCCAACGCGCCCATGTCCACGCCGTCAAAGAACATGTTGAGGGCCTCGTCTTTGCCCCGTGCCATCTCATTTGACTACTCTTTGACGGCCTGAGCCTCGTCGAACTTGGACTATGTATGTAACGGCAATTGCGCGATGTCAATGACACCGCCTATTTCCTTTGGGAAAGGTATAGTTTCTCGGGAGGCCGTAGCCTCTGATTTTCCTTCTGGCTCCCGAGCTAAAGAGGGATCGGCCTCTCGGCCAACTTCCTCGGTTGCCGCCCATTCTTCTTCGTCAATGGTCGACCCATGGGCGATGAACTCTAGTTCATCATCCTCAGGGTAATCCCTGGGTGGTAGAGGGAGTCGGGGTCCAGTACCCCTGCTTGGGTTCTCTTCTTGTTGCTTTTTCGGATCCGGAGTTACCTACTTCTTCTTGGTCTCTGTGTTCAGGGAGCCAGAAGATTTCCTCCTTTTTCACTTTTTCTCCTTCTGTGCAATAGCTCCAGGTTGTCCCGAAGCGAACGATTTAGCAAGTGAGGACGAAGCCTCGTCCTCGTCCAATGGCCGAGGCCCAGTGGTCTTGGGAAATCCTGTAAAAGAACAAGATCTTAGTAGAAATAAAGGTTGAGTATGAAAGTATACTTGTTTGGGAGAACTCACCACGAAACGGGCATCCCACTTTCCCTTTGGAAGTTTTCGACATTCGCTCTCAAAATACGATATTTGTTTGCAAATCCCCTCAATCTACTCCTTGAAGCGAGGGACTGCGTTGGGAACTTAGGCGACCGCTGCACGATGATAGGAACAGGCAATAAGAAAAAAGAATAAAAGAAATTCCAAATACTCAGGAAGGAAAGGAACTTACGGGCTGAGTTCCACTTTTTAGGGAACAACAAAAATTCAGGGGGAATGAGATCTTCGGTTTTCAGTTGAACAAATCTCCGCTTCCAGTCTCAATCGGGCTCTTCATCGATACTTAAGAATGGAGCCTTACTTGCACGACGAACGAGCTTGATCAATCCCCCTCAGAAAACTAGGGGACTGTAGAGACGAAGCAGGTAGTCGATGGTAAATCGAGGTGATTCGGTGTTGTTGACAAAATGGCGAAGGAGGATTATGATCCTCCAAAAGGACAGGCAAACCTATCCAAGACAAACCTCGTACCTTTTGCAAAAGCTAAGGATTTTAGGGTCCATTGGGACAAATGTGAAGGGGTAAGTATAAACACTTAGATACCCCTCTACGTGAGTGGTGATGTCCTCATCGGGACCAAGGACGTCCACTTCCTTGCCCTCACAGTTGCAGTCCTCCGGAACTGTAGAGAGTGTATCCTTAGTAACGAAGCATATGTACCTCCATATCTCCTCGCCTCGGTCCTGTTGACTGGAGGCTTTCTCAACTTTAAAGTCATTCTCAATGGAGCAGCCACCGGGGATGAAACTCTTCAGGGGAGGTTTCAGAGCCACCTCAGGCATGACCACCTCGGCATCCGTGGCCGAGTTAGAAGATGAAGGGACGGTCTATTAAGGCACAGATTCGAAGTCTTCGCCATCGAATTCTGAAAAATATAAAGATTTGAAGGTGAGGATGATGATTTGAAGGTGAGGATGGAGATTTGAAGATAAGGATGAAGGTATGAAGGTCAGATTTGAAGATGGAGTATGAAGATTTGAAGGTGGGGAGATGAAAATATGAAGATCTAAGAAACACCGTATGAAGGTTTGAAGGGGTTAAGAATAATTGAAGAGTTCGAGGGTAAATTAAACAGCTCTAGAATCAAAAAAATAAAAAAAGTGAAAAGGGGAGCGAAACTTTTATAGAGAAGGGGTAATTAATGTGTGACGTTTCGCATTCGGGGACAGTCAACTGGCGGCTGACACGTGTCTGAAGTCAGAACGACATGATTGATGGGATATTTTACTGACCCGTCAGCTCGGTTGTAGTGTACGGAAGAAGGAATCGGGTTTAATTCATCGCTTCCTATCGTTTTGATAAATCTGCTCTTTGAGAAGCGAGGGAACTATTTGTGTACGGGTAAAATCGGGAGCAGAGTTTTCCCCGATTCCCTGATGAGGAAATAAAAGGGAAGCATGGCAAGCGAGGCCAAATGACCCCTCGTATCGGAACCCGGGAGGAGTGAACGTTGCATCTATGATCGAGCGCGGTGAAATAACGAACCCGGACTAAGTAAGGTTTCTGGACCACGGGAAAAAAGGAGAACGGTTACGTATGACGAGTAGGGAGCCGTAATATTCACCCTCAATCGGATATTACGGCGTAAATCCCATCTTATATCAACTGCGGATCGACATCTACCGAAAAAGGAGATTTTTACCTTATTTAGACTTGTACTAGGACTGAAATCCCTTACTATATAAAGGGAAATGTATTTTTTTAACACATTGTTACACGCAAATCAAAGCAATAAAAATTTGTTTTTGTCTTCTAGCTATTGTTCAAAGTGTTCTTCATTTGTTCTCTTCTTTTTATACGCGACCGAGCTTGTATCAAGGGTCCGATCGGGGCGACGAAGCCCACTTTTCAACCTAAGATCAGGCATGATCATCACATTGTGATTGGTTTGATTATTTATTTTATCTTTAACTTAATCACATGTTGGTCGAATTAAATCACACATCCTTTAAACTGTATACAATTTAATATTAAAGTATAATTGGAAATAATTAACAAATTTAGACTTTGAATACTCAAAGTGGCAATTCTTTTGGGACCAATTTTGTAAGCTAAAGTGACAGTTAAAATGAAACGGGGAGTACTTCTTTTCCAATTCTTCTTCAAGAGGGGAAAAAAGATGAATGTCAAAAGTTTGACGGTGGGGAATTAGCTACGTTGACCTAAACAATTTTCCAATTCCGCCCTACCCACAAACCCTCCCTGAATGCCTTTTTGTAGTGCTTTTCAATGATTAATTAGCATTTGTTATCATTGTCGAAAGAAAAGGTCCTTTAACCAGGGTTAAGTAAAAGAAACCTAATTAGTTAACCAAATTTACTTTCCACGTACCCTATATATACTAATCATTCCACATGCAATCCTCTCACGACAAGAATCCATTTCCAATTTACCTTTGAGCAATATCAGCTTTTTAATTATTTTCTTCTGCCTTTTACGTTAATTTTTAGTCCTAGAAAAAATGAAGCCCTTCATGCTGGCCAGCATATCCCTCTTCATCTTTTTATTCATAGTTATATCTTACTTACTCTTTAAAGCTAATCCTTGGCCTTTTACTATTGCAACTCTCTTCTCCCTTTTCCTTTTCCTCTTAAACTTTTGGTCAGTGCCAGGAGGGTTTGCATGGAGAAACTATATTCACTATCAAAAACCTAAAAAACTTCTTGGACCTTTTTCTTGGCCCTTCTTGGGGTTTCTACCTCAAATGGGATCTCATGCTCATCAGAAGCTCGCCACCCTTGCTACATCGTTGGGTTCGACTCGACTCATGATTATAAGCCTAGGTGCTACTCGAGTTATCATCAGTAGTCACCCTGACACTGCGAAGGAAATTCTTTGTGGTACCTCATTTGCAAATCGTCCTGTGAAAGAATCAGCTAAATTGCTCATGTTTGAACGAGCAATTGGTTTCGCTCCTTATGAGAGTTATTGGCGAAATCTAAGAAGAATTGCTGCGAATCACATGTTTTCTCCTCGGAGAATTTCAAGTTTTGAGAGTCTTCGACAATTTATAGCTGATAACATGATAGAAGGAGTTGTCAAGGAGATGAATGAGATTGGTTTTGTTGAGGTTAGAGGGATATTAAGAAAAGGGTCTTTGAGAAATATACTGGAAAGTGTGTTTGGGAGTACTTTAGGTTTAGAAGGTGAAAAACTAGGGTTAATGGTGAAGGAAGGATATGAATTGATTGGAGAATTTAATTGGTCTGATTATTTTCCTTTAAGGTTTTTAGACTTTTGGGGTACTAAGAGAAGGTGTCATAAATTGGCAGCTCAAGTGAATGAATTGGTTGGCGAAATAGTGAAAGAAAGAAGAAGAGAGGGAGAATTAAACATGAAAAATGACTTCCTTAGTGTGTTGCTATCTTTGGCAAAAGAAGATCAACTTACTGATGCAGACATGGTGGCTGTTTTGTGGGTAAGGATTTCCCCCTCATTCAGTTTTGGGTTTTGATGATATTTACTGATAGTGCAATGAAAATTTCACTATTGATGAAGTTTAATCTGCTCTAGAAGGTTACTTTATATTTTTATTTTTTAAGTAATTAATTCCACTTGTTATGAGTAATTACCTGACCTTTCAAGTGATATCGAGATCTTTTTTTCATCGAAAACGAAGAAGGCCGAGGATGGCCTACGGTGCGTCTTATCTGGAGGGAACACGCTTTTAATAGTATATGCAATATCAATCTATAGAAGTTAAACTTATCACTTTTTAATTATCTCAATGGAATATTTTTTTTCCACATAAACAAAAATATTTGCATGATGCTAGGCAGATATCAATATATATGCTTATATATATGAGTTTTTTATGCTTAGAGTTTCATTTTCTATGTGAATTTAAGGTGTAAAAGCCTATTGTCAATTGATTATTTTTAACTATCAGTTGTCAACTCGTTCATGTTTGGAATACATATATAATAGGAGTAACTAACTAGGTAGATAGTTAAGATTCTTTGATAATTCAAAGTAAAATGACTCATCATTAAAAGTTAAGTTGGTGTCATGTCTAAACAACAAAAATCGCTTAGTTCGTCAGCACTAAGTCCACTGCATGTGGAATTGACTAAAGATTTTTAGATATGTCTTTGACTAGTTTATGATTATAATTATGATGGTAAGCTTTGTTTCTTTTCTTCACTTTTACTTTTTGCAGCTGCCAAATGGAACTTACTCACTAACCTTGTGTCCCACTTAAATTAATTAACTTTATGTAGGAAATGGTGTTTAGAGGAACAGATACAGTTGCCATCCTTCTAGAGTGGATCATGGCAAGAATGGTTTTACACCAAGATGTTCAAGCAAAAGCACAAAAAGAGATTGACACGTGCGTTGGTCATAACAAGCACGTGCGGGACTCAGACATACAAAACCTTCCTTATTTGCAGGCCATTGTGAAGGAAGTTCTTAGATTGCACCCACCAGGCCCACTTCTCTCTTGGGCCCGTTTAGCTATCCATGATACTTATGTAGATAAGTGCTTCATTCCTGCAGGGACAACTGCAATGGTTAATATGTGGGCTATTACACATGACTCAACAATTTGGGAAGATCCATGGGCCTTTAAGCCCGAAAGGTTTTGTGATAAAGAAGAAGACATCTCAATTATGGGTTCGGATCTTAGGCTTGCTCCATTCGGGTCTGGACGTCGGGTTTGCCCCGGAAGGGTATTAGGGTTGGCCACAGTGCACCTCTGGCTAGCACGACTTCTCCAACAGTTCAAATGGCTCCCAAGCAAACCTGTTGATCTTGCTGAATGTTTGAAGCTTTCCCTTGAGATGGAGAAACCTCTATCTTGTCGTGCATTTACTCGATATGACACCTAAATAAGCTTCTATTAGTAGTATCATTAATCATAAGAATTATAAAACAAAATATATGATATCTTATCTTTCCGCTATATCAAGTTTATTTATCCTTTGATCTTTAGAATATTGGTGATCACAAAGGCAGATTCAATATTTCCTTCCTTTAGTCCACTGACCTATGATTAGCTGAAAACCCATGCCTTTTTCAAAATTACGTTAACAAGCCACTAGATCACGCAATGCGCATTGCTCAATTAAACAAGGTTATTGCTTTCTTACCATCGTTAGTTTTCGTGCCTTACGCGGCCGTCAAATAATAAATTCAGTGATAGAAATAGAGTATCGAACCCATAGAGACTTATGGTATAATCATTATTTAGATTAAACTATCCTAATATAATTATCTAAACAAGAATTAAAACTAAAAGTGTTTGAGTCAAAACTAATTAAAACAAACAAAAAAACAATTAATAAACTCTAAACAAAAGAAGAGCACATTTTTTTTTATCTATATCTATCTATCTATCTATCTATATCTATATCTATCTATATTATTATAAAAGCACGAATAATTTATACTAAATGTCGAACGACTAAAATATCCTTGAAATATTGACAGACTTTTATGCCCTTAAGTGTTTATATAATTTAAGGATCTAATTGTAAATAACCTAATGATGAAATTCTTTTCCAATTTAAACTACACATATGTCGACCCTACAAAGTTGATCCTACTGGTCATCTATTATTTTTGGAAAAGAATAATTTTACTTTTAAAGGATGCTGTCCTAATCAACGAAAAAATTCAATTGGGACAAAACTGTATTATATTTTTTTCCTACCTAATGCTAGGAGTTTGAAACCAAATTGAATTTTTCGTTGATTAGGACAATACTGATTCTGACTTTTGTTCGAAGAGTCTCCCAAAGCACAAGTTACATGGAATTAAAACTTTTTCTCCGTTACAAATTTTATTCCTTTTGATACATAACCAAACACGATTTCATCCATCTAAAATATGTTTTTACATAACTGCGACTCTATTTTACAAGCTCAATATATTGGCAACGCTACAAGATTTAAAAGCTTGACCTTTTTTATTAAATGGATACAAGTTATATCTCTAATATTTTATTAAATTCTATTTTTTTCTTAATTCTGCATATCATGTATGATGTATACAGATTTTATGTCGAACTATGTTCTCCTTTTATACCATATACATATTTTACGTCATTAATATATAGTACTTACTTAACTTTATGTTGTTATTTTCTTTGCAGTGAACACCACCATATATTTTAAGTGAATCGCCTTTTTGAATTTGGTAGAAAAGATTCTTTAGCAGAAAGGAAGTGATGGTTAAGGCGATAATTTTTTTAACCAATTTATTTTCTCCCCTTCCTTTCGATCAACCTGTCATCTATAGTTTCTTGTTGTTAACTTATCTTTAATGATTCAATTTGGCAGTAGATCAACTTGAAGCTATTTTTTTGCATTCATGAAACTTCAAGTATAGTGGAGTTTTAGATTAGCACGAGCAAGTATACTCATGGATGAAACATGAAAAATTTACGTGCTTCTTAACTAGAGATTGGATTAATTATAATTGGTGTTGAATTTAGAGATTGCACTGGTCGGCATTGGAGTTAAGTAGAATTATTTCCTAGCTGTAACAATTTTGTTTCGAATATTTGTATAGTTAAGAATTTATATTTCATTAAATATAACTTTCGCAATAATTATATTAATGTAGGATAATGTGCAACACAACAAAAAAAATAATGCCAAAGACTGTATGGGGTCAAATTCTGCCCACTATGGTAAGCAACGACCCCCGACTAAGCAATAGCCGAAGTAGAGGGGACGACCGAAGAATGTCAGAGCGAAAGTATGCCCTTGTGTCTCGTCGTCTCCTCGAAAGCACGTGACCTATCCCCGTATTATTTTATTATTTTTTGAGGGGGTTCTCTTGTTATATAAAGGAGAATCCCAATGTTGTAAAGGAGGATCTTTTCAATAAGAAGCTATCTTTTCTTTCTATTTCTCTCTCTCTCTCAACAAGCTTTCTCTTACTCTCTTTCGAATATCCAAGTTGTCGAAACAATCACAAGCATAATATATATTTCTAGGTCTAATTATATTCGATTACGATTTACCTTTGATTCATTTTAATTGTTTTCGCTTACAAAGTAATTAGTATCTTTTGAGTCAAACAATTTGGCGCCGTCTGTGGGAATTTCGGCAATCGAAATCATAGTTTGCACCTTGAACATCAAAAATAAACCTTCCTTCACACCCTACTGAAATCGAAAAATGGCGGAAAATGACGCAAGATTGAAAGCAATAGCAGGCGTCACAACCAACCTCATGGGCCCCCTCAACGAGACCGGCAGAGAAAATATCTTGAGCACAACACCTGGTAACACTCAAGAGGGAGAAATCTCACCCTCCCCATCTGAAGATCTGACTATCATGCAAGAAAAGGGGGCTTCCACGTCTGCAGTCAAAGAAGCACCACCCCGCTGATCAAGAAGCTACTGGAAGAATGGATGACGAACACCCTAAGCAGCTTGCTCGAAAAATCGCCCCAAAGCAACATTAAGAACTCGTTGACGACAGACATCGCTACCACCAGTGAACACGATACTATACGTACAAACAACAACCATACCAATGGCCAGACCAGCGATGGCACACTTGCAGCCATCCTTAAAAAAATGGAGGAAATGGAGAATGAAAACAAGGCACTTCGGGATCAGATGAAAGAGCATTAGGAAAGAGTAGACAAAATTCCCGGCGCTCCTACGTTACTGCCGAAGCGCGACGTGGGAAGATTCGTTGAACAGCCATACAGCGAAGAAGCTGCACCTCACCCGATCCCAAAGACCTTCAAGATGCCACCCTACTTAAGGATATATGACGGGACGAAGGACCCCGAAGACCACCTGATCCACTATGTGACCGCTGTGAAGGGTAACGATCTGTCAAAGGAACAAGTACCATCCGTACTGCTGAAAAAGTTCGGAGAAACGTTGACGGGGGTGAGGGGGGGGCGCTAACATGGTACTGCTAGCCAGAACGATATCAACATTCGAAGAAATGGCGGATAAGTTCGCCACCGCCCATGCAGGAGCTAAGAAAGCAGAGGCCAGGGTCAACAATATCTTTGCCGTCCGACAAACCGCGGGTGAGGGACTCAGGGACTTCTTGGCCAGATTCAACAGAGTAAGGATGAGCCTACCAAACGTATCGGAAGGCATGGCGGTCGCAGCTTTCCAAAACGGGCTGAGCAAAGATGGTTCGAGAGCAACCAAAAAGCTACTAAGCCGACTCATGAAGTATCCTCCCACCACATGGGAGGAGATCCACAACGCCTACTGTGCCGAGGTACGAGCAGACGAGGATGACCTCAACGGACCAACCCAGCGGCTCACGACAATACAGTCAGAAGCAAGGAGGGATCGACGCAGCGAGGGCCGGCGGGAACAATCCTCGCGCTTCAACAAAGAAAGGCAACAGCCTTACGTCAGATCCTCGCATCCACCACCGCCTAGACACACAGAAGCACTGCAGCGACATGTCACCCCACTCCGTAATGAAAGAGGTATGCCCCCTTTATTATCCGCCCATAACTTTTGTGTGTCTCCCTCAGAAATAGTGTACGCACTGGAGAAACTGGGCACCAAGGTACAATGGCCGCAGAAGATGAAATCAGACCCCGCCATGAGAAAGTCAAATGTCCTGTGCGAGTTCCACCAAGAACGAGGGCACAAAACCGAAGATTGCATAGGGCTACGGCAGGAGGTGGTCAGAATGCTGAACCAAGGATACTTAAGGGAGCTACTTAGCGATAAGGGAAAGATCAAATTCGCACAAGGGCGGGATCAACCTCAAGGGCCGCCAAAGCCGCCTTCGCCAGCACGCACCATCAACATGATCGTCGGAGGAGGCGACGATTCAGCAATCAACCATGTAAAGTTCACCACTTCGCACAAACTGAAGCGAACAATCGCCCACGAACGGTGTGATGACTTCGAAGAAAGTATCACCTTCGATAAGTCAGATGCCGACGGTTTGTCTTTTCCTCATTATGATGCTTTGGTCATAACTTTACGTATTGCTGACACTGATGTTAAGAGAATCATGGTTGATGACGGAAGCGGTGCCTGTATTATCCATCCAAGGGTCCTCGCACAAATGAGGCTCGAAGATAGGATAATACCGCGTTGCATAACACTGACAGGTTATAACAATGTAGTGGAACGAACCTCCGGGGAGGTATCATTGCCGAAATTAACAGGAGGAGTTACGCTGGAAACCACTTTCCACGTTATGAACCAAGAAACAGCCTACAACGCCATCATAGGACGCCCGTGGATACACGCCATGCGAGCAGTCCCCTCAAGCTTCTACCAAGTGATCAAGTTCCCCACCCCTTGGGGAATATTTAGCATTCGGGGCGAGCCGCGCACCGCGCAAGAATGCTACCGAATCGCTCAAGAATACTCACACACCAAGCAGTTGAAAGGAGCAAGTGCGGAAGCATAGCAATCAGCCGTGTCGGGGACTAAGGTCGACCCGACAACGGAAGCCATCAAAGATCCGAACATCGTAGAAGCCTGCAAAGCAACGGTCGAGGATCTCAACCCAGTACAACTGGACAACACCGACCACTCAAGAAAAGCCTACATCGGACACGGCCTCTGCCACCCAAGTAAGTACCATGAATTTTTAACTAACCACGCAGATCTATTTGCTTTTTCTCATTCAGATATGCCGGGGATACCAAGAGACATTGCCACCCACAAACTGAACGTCGACCCACTATATCCACCCGTGCGGCAAGTTAGAAGAAAGTTCAACGCCGCAATCAACAAGGCCGTCAGCGAAGAGGTAGATAAACTACTGGCCAACGGGTCCATAAGGGAATCAAAATATCCCCAATGGGTCGCGAATGTCGTCATGGTCAAAAGGAAATACGGGAAGTGGAGGATGTGCGTAGATTTCACATATCTTAACAAGGCATGCCTGAAGGACTCGTTCCCGTTACCTCACATCGACTAGTTGATCG